ACCTCCTGCCCCTTGCATCCTTATTCACTCTGCCTAGAATGCCCCTCCCGTTTCTAGAAACTTTTTTGAGGCCATGACAGCCTGGGCACTTCTCTGTGGGGACGTCTCTATAGGCAGAAACCTTTAAGACCCCTTTCTGACTCCTGGCACCCATACCCCCACAATGGTTGGAGTGAACTGAAGGGTGTTCCTCCAGGAGCCTGCTCAGAGTCTTAGCACGATGTCCATGTGTTTTTCTGCAGCCCCCAACTATTTTAGTAGCCATCTGCTGGGCACCTGGTAGGTGCCCTTCCCTAGACTGGGAAACAATTGGACACCAAGTCATGCAAACCCCATGTTCCAGCCCAGATTCTTTCTATCATTTACTAGGTGACCGCAGAAAGTCATGGAACCTCTCTGAGGTCAGCCACTCCTCTACATCTAATACAGACAAGAATAATCTCTGCTCTGTCCAGCTCACCCAATGTCAGAGCTTGGAGTTAAGAAAGGCTTCCTTGGTGACTAATGTAGTATTCATGTGATAGGGATCCTTCTCTTTAAGAGGCCTGGTTTGGAGGGCTCTCAGAAAGCCTTCTCTACACCCCAGCAGGCTTCTGCTCTCTCTGTCCCTCAATCTGTTATGATGCCTGAAATTCTGCCATCTGTCATTCTTTTGGGCTAAGTTATTATCATTGTTTATATCCAGATGGCGCCTGTTAAAAGATGCCAGTGATCTGGAAATGGTGACACAGTAGCCCCAGGAGCAAAAGCCTGCGCTACCATTAATGAGCATCTCTTTCATGGTCATTCCCTGACCCTGGTGTTGGAAGATAAATAGGTATAAGCTTTCTGGAGATAAAGATGGCAATACTCATCAAAAGCTTTACAAATATGCACACTCTTTGATGCAACAATTCCTTCTTTGAAAATTTCTTCATTTTTTTGAGACAGTTTCACTCTTGTTGCCCTGGCTGGTGTGCAATGATGCAATCTCTGCTCACCGCAACCTTCACCTCCTGGGTTCAAGTGATTCTCCTGCCTCAGCCTCCTGAGTAGCTGGGATTACAGACACGTGCCACCACGCCCGGCCAATTTTGTATTTTTAGTAGATACGGGGGTTTCTCCATCTTGGTCAGGCTGGTCTCGATCTCCTGACTTCAGGTGATCCACCCACCTCAGCCTCCCAAAGTGCTGGGATTACAGGCGCAAGCCACCGTGCCCAGCTGGAAATTTCTTCTAAGGGAACACTGTGTTTAAAACTATGTATACAAGGAAGTCTTATTTATAGTAGCACAGAATTATAAATAAATAACTTAAATGTCCAAAATAGGTAATTGGCTAAATACCAGAGAGTGTTTCATGGGCCTGTGACCAAAGCACAGGGCCGCAGGCTCAGAAGGCCCCTCACTTGCTTTAATGCTCCGCTATCACTGGCTTAAAATTCTTAATGATTTTGAGCAAAGGACCGCTCATTTTCATTTTGTGTGGGCCACACACACACTATGTAGCTACTTCCTAGAATATTATGTAGCAATTAAAATAATGCTTATGGAGAATATTTATTGAAATGGGAAATTGCTTCAATTAAATGAAGAAATGAGGATCTGAAACCACAAATGATGCAATTCTAATTTTGTATAAAATAGAAACATGTCGACAGATAATTAGAAAAAGAGTGAATGGAAATTTACCATACCTTATATACAATGTTAGAGCAATTATCTCTCTCACTCTCTTTTTTTTTTTTTTTTTTTTTAGATGAAATTTTGCTCTTGTTGCCCAGGCTAGAGTGCAATGGCATGATCTCGGCTCAGAGCAACCTCCACCTTCTGGGGGCCCTGAACACTTCAAGAAGCAATTCTGCTTCAGCCTCCCAAGTAGCTGGGATTACAGGCATGTGTCACCACACCCAGCTAATTTTGTATCTTCAGCAGAGATGGGGTTTTACCATGTTGGTCAGGCTGGTCTCAAACTCCTGACCTCAGGTGATCCACCCACCTCACCTCGGCCTGTCAAAGTTCTGGGATTGCAGGTGTGAGCCACCATACCTGGCCTAGAGCAATTATCTCTAAGGAAGCAAAACTACATGTATTCTTTTTTATTACTATTTTCTTCTTTGGATTTTTTTTTAAATTTTCCAATACAAAGAGTACGACTGTACTTCCTAATATTTCCAGAAGAGGCAAAAATGTACATCATAGCTGAAAACAAGCAATTATCTCTCATGCCTCTGAGTGAATCTAGAGCCCTTCATATGCACGGTAGCCTTCTGGATAAACACATGAAGAAAAGATCAGTTGATGAGGAAACCAATTATTATAAGCTTCTCAAAGCTGAAGACTGATTTCTGGGTCCCCACTTCCCTCTGCAGGCCTGGGACAGATGAAGCACAGATAAAGTGAATGGGCACCCTGTCTTATTTATGGCGTGAAGTCATGAGTAGTCTTTACCCATGACATGTCTCACCACATATTATATTAACCACACTATGGTCTATGGTTTGGTTTGGTTTTGTTTTTTGAGACAAGACAGAGTCTCCCTCTATTGTGCAGGCTGGAGTGCAGTGGTGCGATCTCGGCTCACTGCAACCTTCACCTCCTGGGTTCAAGTGATTCTCCTGCCTCAGCCTCCTGAATAGCTGGGATTACAGGTGCATGCCACCACACCCAGCTAATTTTTTTTTTTTTTTTTTTAAGTAGAGATGGGGTTTTACCATGTTGGTCAGGCTGGTCTCAAACTTCTGACCTCAGGTGATGCACAACCTTGGACTCTCAACTTGCTGGGATTACAGGCATGAGCCACTGAGCCTGGCCCTACCACTCTATATTCTGACTTGGAAGCTAGACCTTCTTTCTGACCTGGGACAAGACTGCACCCAGAGTGAATTTCTGGATCAGGGAGAGGAGCTGCCCCTCAAGCCCTTTTGTGCCCCATTTCTCTCTGGAGCAGAGGCCAGACATTCCTATGCAAAGCTGGGGGAGCACATGCGGCTCCACCTGCATCCCTGGTGTGGGTGTTGCATTGCAGGCTTCACCCCAACAGCAGAGGGCAGTAGTGGTCTGCAGGCCCAGAAGAAGGCCTGGGGTGGGAGGTCCTCTTATAGGGAGTGGCCCCACTGACTCCACACCTAGCTCCCGTAAGTCTCCTCTCCCAAATCCTTTATCAGGCTGTTACTGACTGTCCTGACTCAGCTGAGTATGGCAAGGGACACAAGAATTAGCTCTCGGGTGGGTGCGGTGGCTCAAGCCTGTAATCCCAGCACTTTGGGAGGCTGACACAGGTGAATCACGAGGTCAAGAGATCGAGACCATCCTGGTCAACATGGTGAAACCCCGTCTCTACTAAAAATACAAAAATTAGCTGGGCGTGGTGGCACGTGCCTGTAATCCCAGCTACTCAGGAGGCTGAGGCAGGAGAATTGCCTGAGCCCAGGAGGCGGAGGTTGCGGTGAGCCGAGATCGCGCCATTGCACTCCAGCCTGGGTAACAAGAGCGAAACTCCGTCTCAAAAAAAAAAAAAAAAAAAAAAAAAAAAAGAATTAGCTCTCTACATCCAAGGCCTGAGTTAACGTCCCCATGTGATAGATGAGACCGCAGGGGCCCTGAGAAGGGATGAATTTGCTGAGAGCCACACAGTGAGCAAGGGGCAAACAGAGATCTGAGCACTACTGTGGGAAGGCTGGGCTTTTAACATGGAGCTGCCCCTTGTGAGACAGCTATTCAAAAGGAGGTGGGCAGCCCCAAATATGAGTGATGCCCCCTGCACTTTCTGTGTGCCCATGCCTGGGACATGTGTCTCAGTCTAGGGCATACTCATGGCTATGCTGGGGTGACAGGACCACCTTGCCTCTGAACTCCAACACTTTTTTCAGCCCTGTGTTGCTAGGTGGGCCTTTCCTGCTCCACTAAGACTGAAATCTCCCCAGGACACAAGGTGGGCCTCCTCCTCCTGCCTGTCTTCCCTTCAGCATGCCCAGCACCTGGCAGGGCTCACAGTGCTCAGGGAAGATGTGGGGCCCGAAGGTGGAGTGTAGAGGGCGCCACAGTGCTCATCTGTGCTCTGCTGAGCCCGGGCTGGGCTGTGCGATCTTCCTCCCCTTCCTGGGTTCCCTGGTGATCGGATGAGCTCCTGAGGGTACGTCCTGCTGTCCCACCTTGGGCCTTCACGTCGTGATGGTCCACTGGGAACTCCTTCCCCCGCGCCTCTTTTCCTCTCCTTCGGCTCCATTCTTCCTCCTTAGGACCCATCCCACCCCCTGGGCTCCCACAGCCTCTGGCCTATAACCCTGGGGGCCCTGAACACTTCGAGAAGCAATGTAGTCCATTGGAGAGGGGGCCTTCAGAGCCCCACAGATCTGTGTTCAGACCTGGCTCTTCCACTGCACAACATGGGTCAGCTTGGCAAGTCCCTTAACCTGATCTGTGAGAAGGAGATGCTAATGAGGCTTCAGAGACAGCATAGGGAGTGTGTGGCAGAGCAGGCAGGTAGCTAACAGCTGCCATTGTACCTTCACTGGGTTATTTATATCTAAGATCATTCTCCCTGTGAGATGAAGAGCGCTTTGAGGGCAGGGGTGGGGTCTTTTTGGTGTCCCAGGACTTAGCATAGGTTGAAACAATGACTGGATGAATGAAGTGTCTGGGGATGGTCAGGGTACTCTGAGAAGTCTGCTCCCCACCATAAGATTCAGGAAAACATCCCTCATTCCCCATACTCAGAAGGCCCTCCTCCCCACCTTAGCCTCATTCTCCACACTTGCAATGACAGCTCCACCCCAATGACTTTTTCCCTCCTAATTACCCTTTTAAATAAAATTTATGAAGGTTTTCATAAATTTTAAAACTGATTTACACACTTTAATAAAAGCATGTGGTGGACAGGGAGTATTAGGCTGCAAATTTTCTGCAATGAAATTAATAGAAGCACATCCTGGATTATCAAGTTTGGGAGCTGCCCCCTCCCCCAGCCCCCAGGAGCTGCCTGCTTGCTCAGGATTGACAAATGTGCCTCTTGCTTGGCAGACAACGGTAAGCTGGGACGGAGACAAGCTCCAGTGCGTGCAGAAGGGCGAGAAGGAGGGGCGTGGCTGGACCCAGTGGATTGAGGGTGACGAGCTGCATCTGGTAGGTTCCTGACCTGGGTCAGGCTGGGTCCTCAGAGGCCCTGGTCATTGTTGAGGTCCAGATGGACCTTGAAAGAAGGCAGTATGGCTGGGCCTTGGTTCTGTTCTGAAGCTTCTCTTCCAAGGGCCTGGAGATCATGCTTGAGTGACTTTAAAATCCAAGCAGTGTGTTGTTAAGGTCTAGGCTGACCCAGTCGTCTAATCAGAGGGAAGACGTGAGGAGGTATATCCATTAAGCATCAGCAATGAGCTAAGCCCTTTTGCATTCTATAATTCTTTCTATTCTCTCAGAATAGGAATATGGCTCTTATTTTAGAGATGGGGACATGGAGGCTCTGAAAGTTTAGGTTACATGCCCAAACGGCACATCTAGAAAGTGACAGAACCAACATTTGCTCCCAAATGATGTATATATTCACCATGCCAAATTGCATAGGCCAAAGCCAAGAAGAATTCTCTAAGATGTGATCTCAGTCTGGGTCAGCGGGAGGTGATTCGGGAGGGGAAGCGTCAGGGGGTCCTGTTGGGCAGCTCTGAGCCACATCTGTTCCACTCAGCCAGCTCTGTCTACAGGGTGCTGCAGAGCACGCCGCTGTACAATTTAACTGCCTTTCCAAACAATTGGTTACTTAAACCAACTCTCGGAGAAAAATCACAGCCAACGAGTATTTTCAGAGTTCTTGCCACAAGTGTGACTCTGCTCTGGCCAATGACCAACATCTGCTTTTGTTTCAGGAGATGAGAGTGGAGGGTGTGGTCTGCAAGCAAGTATTCAAGAAGGTGCAGTGAGGCCCAGGAAAACAACTTTGTCCCAGGGAATGAGCAGTGTGGATGTGTGGGCCAGGATCTCCCTCTTTGCACAGCATGAGGCAAATGTCCAGCCACCCCCAGGCATCTGTTAGCAGAATCTGTCTCTTGCCTTTGTCTCTTTTCCTTTTCTTAAAACGAAGCCATGCCAATAAAGTGATCTCTGTTCAAGACTTCTGTTCAGGGGAAGTTTCACTGCCCACTGTGCTCACTTTTTTTCCGGGGCTTCTGAGGCCAGCTTCTCCTGGTGCCAGCCATGGGCAGAGGGGATAAATTCAGCCACGTCTTCATATTTAGTCCTGAAATTGCACCTGTGTTTCTCTCCAAGGGCATAGGCTTGGGTCTAGAACGGCAGGATGGGAGGTAGCCTGACAGTCAATCATTTGTGTATCAAGTACCTATCACGTTATATATCTAATTGTGCTCAAAGTATAGTGAGTGCCACGAAAGCAGACGGTACCTTCCACCCTAGAGATCCGACTAGCAGAGAATGTCTATGTAACTGCACAATACACGCAGGAGAAGCTTCATCATATTTGGGAGTGAAATGGAGCTGAACAGGATTTTCAGCCCAAAGCTTAAAATTACTTAAACATAAGTAATCACCTATTGGATTTAATTTCAGAGATGTCATGAGAAATGCCACGACCCCCAGACCATCACCCCATCTATGGGCTGGTGTGAAGCCTTTCTTTTCACTGTTGTAGATGAATCATAACTTGCAATTCCCCCTGAAAGAGACAGAGCCGCCTCATGTTCGTGCTAAAGTGTAGGCGATTGCTAGCTGCACCTTTGCATAAAGCAACACAAGGAAACGGAAGGAGGAGTGAGGATGTGAGAGATCATGGATAGGGAAAACAATTGGAAAAGGACAGACGGAGGATCCCCTTGGTGCACCTGACAATCCGCCTGGGCTATGCCCTGCTCCTTGACAAGAGTTAGGAGTCAGATCAGCTGAGTAAAAGTCCCAACTTCATCACTTACAGAGAATACTGGGACTCATCTCAGCGGGCAGTGGGGAGCCACGGGAGGTTTTTGAGCAGGTGAGGGACGTGATCATCCTCTGAGCAGAATTAATCTGCCAGCCATTCTCTCAGCTGCAAGAAAAAAAAATGAAGAATACCAGTAAGGCAGTTAGGAATATCAGTCAGCACAGGAATTTCACTTCATATGAGATTAATGTTCCCGAAGAAATACATGTAAAATAAGAGGAATGTTTTCTATTTTACATAAATCTATAACCACAGAAACAGGCTTTTGGCTTTAATGTTGCTTTTCATTTTCTCAGCACTATCCAAAGTTTACAGAGGGCTCGCTCCTAAGTTGGCAGCAGCATGCATCACGGGGGTTGTTCAGGCTTCTCGGTGGCATGCTAGCACCGCTCACCTCTGGTTGAAAGCTACTGATGTTCACTCCATTTTCGGAACACGACTCCAAGTACCACCACTTAACCAGCACTTGGATGCCATTGTTATAGGATATAAAAAAAGATTTTCAATTCTAACAGCACCTGATAACATAACTGGGCATTAATAAAGAAATCACTCTGTGACTTTTCAAAGCATGGCAACAATACTGTGATGCCCCTGAGGACTGACAAAGGATGGAGATTTTGTATCTATCAGCTCATCTGGTACCTCTAGGCTGTGGAAGTGGAGTTAACCACACCTGACAACCCCCTGGGCCTGCCACCTTGAAAAGTACAGGATTTTTGACATTTTTGAACTGAAATTTACAATATTTCAAAACATACTAGGAGTCTCCATTTTTTATTTATTTATTTTGAGACTGAGTCTCACTCTGCCACCCAGGATGGAGTGCAGTGGTGATCTTGGCTCACTGCAACCTCCACCTCCCAGGTTCAAGCGATTTTCCTGCCTCAGCCTCTCGAGTAGCTGTGATTACAGGTACCCACCACCACACCCATCTAATTTTTGCATTTTTTTTTTTTTTTGGTAGACTCAGGGTTTTGCCATGCTAGCCAGGCTGGTCTCAAATTCCTGGCCTTAAGTAACCTGCCTGTCTCAGCCTCCTAAAGTGCTGCGATTGCAGGTGGGAGCCACCGTGCCCAGCCTCTGAATCTTTATTAATATATGTATAGTACGTAACTTCAAGCTTTAAAAAAATAGGACTATCATGTGAAGTAACTCTGGCAGGAGGCACTGAAGCTGAGCCCAGTGCAGTAACAAGCTCTTAATGAGCAAAGGCAAAGGGTGAAGTGCTTGAGTGTCCACGCTCTGGAGGCACAGGGCCTGGGTTCAAATCCCAGCTCTACCACTTCCTAGTTCTGTGAAGTTAAGGCAAGTAGTGCAAACTCTCTGTGCCTCAGTTTATTCATCTGTAAATTGAAGCTAACTACTCCTCATAGATGTTTTGTGAGGATTAAAAGAATCTAATACATGTAAGCAACTTAGAGTAGATGTATTTTATTTGCAAAGAGATTTGAACAGTGTCTGGCATGTAACAAGTCAATTTACAGGTGGGTTTTATTTTAAGGGACTGAGAGGCACCTCATGGGTGGAATCCACATGACTTTTTGCCCACAAGGCATGGATAGAAACTGAAACCGAGGGAGAGCCAGGGAAGCATTTAACAGAACTTGGGGAGGGAAATTTGGGGGTAGCCTGTCTAGGACAGGAAGTTTCAAGACACCATTTCAGCAGCAAAGAGATAGGCTAGAACGAGGCCTTTTTGATCTCCTGGGGATGAAAACCCTGATTGCAGGTTCTCTACCACGCCTCTCTATACACACACAAGATACTAGTTGGGACACTGGAGCTTCTGATGCACAGACACAGTGACCCGAAATTACAGAGCTGGTGGGAGGACAGACTTCGGACCCTAAACTCCCAAGGCCCCGAAAATATTCTCTGGGCAACCTCCAAAACCTTTCCACAAGAAAAACATGACAAATTGAATCCCAGTGTCCTCTCTGGAAACCCTAATGTAGAACTTCTATCTCAATTCACTAGGGCATGACTATTGTTCCTTTCAGGAGCAAATTGGACAACTCAACACTGCAATTACACCCTGTGTAACGTTCGTATATGTTCCCTCTATCCATGCCAACACTGCCAGCAGCAATTTCCCATGCCACCTCCCCCCCTCCCCCCCACCGCCTGCAGATCTGGGTCTCTCTCAACCCTGAGTCCCCAGGGGCTTCTCCTCCTCCTCAGCCTGGCCCCACATCCCACTCTGAGCTGAGTCAACACCTGCTGAGTCAATCCCACTCTGCAGCTGAGTCAGCGCCTGCAGGACTGAGTCAACTTAAGTAGCAGAGACTTGCTAATCATCCACCTCAGAGAAATGGGCTTTCCTCTCCAAGAAAATTGGGACAAGGATAGGGATGGTTGTTTCTTTGTTTAAATAGATAACATATTTGATTCACTCTGAAAGAGACACTTAAGAATGATGACATTTCCTATCCCCCCCTCCAATTATCAAAATAAACCCTCCCAGTCCTTCAGAGACAAGTTGGGGTCCTCCTCTCCCCAACCACAAACGGCCCACAAGATTCCCCTTCTTTGAGATCTGAGCCTCTCAAAGGTGATCCTGGCCACTTCTACTTTCTGAAACAGGTGCTCCCAATAAAGAAATACTAGCTCAGAATTACAAAAGTTGAAGATTATTTTAAGTGATTACATATAACAAATTAAATACAATGTTACGTAATCAGGTGGTGCTAGTTCCAAGCATGGGGCTTATAAAATTTATTCATAGTAGATCTGAGGCAGTCTGGTTCAATCACCATGCACAGTTTAAAGGCAGAGAACAACTTCATTCTGTCCCATCGCTGTCTCTCTTCATGCGTTGTGTGTCATTTCATTTGGAGATACTATCAAAGCTTGCAAAGTCTTTCATGAATGTGATGTCTGGGCCAAATAGTTCCGCCCCCAACACTGTGTTCCCCATTGGAGGCCCTGCTTGAGCTCCTAACATTTAACTCAGTCTTACCATCTTAGACACTCCTTGTGGGCATTGGGCCTGTTTGTGACTGCCCACTGTCATGAAAAACTCTTCCGTGTTTAGGGAAGTTCCTTCCATCCAGTTAGGAGCTCCACCTCTTCCAGTTATTAATAGCAGGATGAACTCACTTTTTCAGCTGATTTTGTAAACCACATTCCAGACGTAAGGCTGAGGTTCCCTTAACTAGAGGTGTCCCAGTAAAGAGGTTTGGAAAGAGAGCCGTGTGAGGAAGGTGGATTACGTGGATCTGATCCTTTGGAAATGGTGGCAGCAGAGGAATGGCTTTGGGCCGGCACCAGCGGTGGAGCTTCTGGTTCCTGCTGTCCAGGGTCATGGACATTATCTACACTGGCAGTGGACACTCAGTAGTACTGCAGTGTAGATTGTGTGTTGCTCCCTGATGCATAGTCTTTAGGCTTGATCCTAGAGATTTGTGGAATACCTAAAATTCTGTAATTCCTTTTTCACTTGAGCTAGAGTGGATTCTGTTCGCAATAAAGCACACTGACTGCCACACCTTTTGGTGGGTATCTGCCCATCTCATAGCTCTCTCCTCTTCCCTGAGATCAGCCCCTCAGATCTACGGTGCCGGGCAGGAGAGGAAGGTGCTGCACGTCTGTTCTTTCCAGCCTGGCTCACAGTCAGAGCTGACCAGACCAGGTTAGATGGACGCCTGACTCATGAGAGCCAAGCAGATCTCCCCTGGAAATCTAGAAACAGGATTCAGAGATGCTGGTGAGCCTTTGCTGTTGCTCAAATTGAGGATTCAGAGCCTGAGTTTTGGTGGGCAGGAGGGGAAAGGAGTGTTCTGTTGATCTGTGTATACAAAGGAAGAGAAGTCTGCTCTGCAGAGAGAAAAATAAAGCAAATATGCAGACAGAAGCCTGGAGTGGCAGCTGCCATGTTCCTGGTGGCTTTTTAGATTGTGGACACAATAATCCTTTGTCAGGCCAAGTGATACTTCCCACTAGAAGACACTTAGACTTATTCCTGTAGTTTCATATCGCATTTCTCTTTCAGCCTTAAGCCAGCAAAATTTTGTTACTTTAAACTGTAAGAATATTTTCTAAAACAACCACTCATTTGGTAATTATCACATACCTCTTGAGATTTCCCAAGATGGTTGTCTCATATTGCTATTGTTTTCTATAATGTATATATAAATATAATATATCCTTATACTTGTTATTGTATGAGTCTTATACATGTAA